AACAACACCATCAACAACAACACACGATACGCTGAACGTTCCGTCTTAATAGTTTTTACAAGAAACCGTTATTTATCGAGGATTATTCGCGGATCGCGTGGAATAAGTTCTGTTCGCTTATCTTTTCGGAACTAGAACGCGTAACCCGTGCACTATTGTGTCATGGCGCACGACGATGAAGAGGCCGACGGCCAATTGGTGACGTCGGTCAGCTGCCGGTTGTGCTGTACACCTTCGGTGGCCGTCGGTCAACGGCATTCAATCATCGCCGCCGCCGCCACGAACGACGGCGGCGACGGGACACGCCCCGGCGGCCGAGGATTACGCGACACCATAGTCAAGCACCTGCGGATACAGGTGAGCAAGCCGTTTACGAGTGTTGGCGGTGGCCCTTGTACGTGTCGCCGTTATCCACAGCGCCTTTGCGGTGGCCGTCGTTCGCGGCGGTGCGCCAACAATTATCGCTTGGCCAACGGTCCACCGCTCCTCTCGCCCACACCCCGACCTCATTTGCAATATTGTTTGCAAATTTTAATATTAATTTATTATCAACACACTATGATTGCGTTACCTGATAACGACATTTATCTCGTGCGCGCCCGCGCGTCTGTGTGCGGAACAGCTGCATCACTGACGGTTGAGTAAATGTCTTAAATACTGAAAAGTCGCTTCTCCTTTCGGTTTGCGAGTTATCTCTAATAGTCTCGGTCTATATGCCTTTGGGCATATGCCCAAGTAGGAGATTCCGTGAACTTATCCCTCCAAATATGTTCTATTAAATTTTCTTACCTTCATTGAATTAAATTTCTTACTAAATGTACATGGTGTTACCAGAATTTGAGCCTTTCTTATATTAAACTCTATTTACTCCTCTGGCTTCGGCCTTTAGAACACTTTATTTTTTATTTTTAACTTAACCTAACCTAACTTTTTTTTATCCCTTTACAGCTGTTTGTATTGAAGTTATTTTTCAGAATAATTATATCTGTGTTTTTTTCGATCCACATAAGATGTGTCTCTCCAAATAGGTCATCTTCCTATTCTCTTTTTATGCTTACTGTAGTCCCAAAATTCTACAATGTGCAATCTATCTACTACTACAGCTGTTTGATTTTGATTTATTTTCTCCATTTTAGTCCATTGCTAAGTTTTCTTTTGATTTTCACTTAGCTCTGTTACTTTCTAATCTATAATCTAAATTAAACTAAATACTTTGTACTAATTCTGTAATATATTTTATATCATTACGAGTGATAATATCAAATATTAACTGAAGTGTGTACAAACCTAATTGAATGTAATAGTATATTTTGATTATTGTATGATTAACAACAAATTCGATTTATATATTTTATAGAACTACCTAATCCTAGTTCTATAATCACATAATTATCAGTTTTGCATTCAATATCATTCTAAAAATAATTTTATTAAAACTGGATCAACCTTGATTTGAATATCTATAGTTCATCTTTGGTTCTGTATTTTATTTATTTGATTGTCTTATAATTTTATGCTTACACATTTATATTCTACAACTCAAAAAGTAACACAATATTTTGATGATCAATGTTTCAAAGCTAAATAATTTATTGATATCATTCTTAAACTAACTGTCCATGTGTGTTACAAAGTATCTTTTACAGTTTTTATTGAAATCTGTATTCTTTCTAAACCAGTTAATTACTATTATGCCATGATATTTTGGCATTACATGTTCTTACTAAGGATGGGCATGAATTCCAAAGATCTGAATTATCCTGATTTAAATCAAATTCTTATCAAGATTTATGAATTTACTTTGAATACTTTTATCAGCTTTTTTATACTTTCCTGACATTTCATATACGTTTTGCTTTAAGTGAAATGTATTTGATAATATTATTTCGAGATAAGTAGAAATTTTACTTACCAATGTATACTATTATCTATACTAGCTTTTAAAGTTTCAATAACAAAATTAATTTATTAGAAAAAGAAAAATAACCAATATAAAACTAGAATTGGATAATCACAAAATAATTATTTTCCACCGTATTGAAACTAACATATGACATTTATAGGAACTAATGTGTGTAAATTATATCTATAACTCTCGTGTAAGAACTTACTATTTTATATTACTCGTACTGTGATATGATTGAATACTTAATTAACTTATCTTAACCGCATAAACCTTGAATGGTTATTGAATAAGTTTTTCTGAAAATAAGTTACAATACTACAATACAATAACAATTGTTATCTATATAATTATTTATATGAACAAGTTTTCTTACAATTATCAAATAAAAATTTGAATCATCAAACAGCAAAATTAAATTGAATAATCCATGAAATCCGAATATGCCCATCATTAATTTTTACACAATTAAAAATGTTACTTTCTTTGTATTTAATTATTCTTTTAGTTATATTTTCTTGATAAGATTAACTAATAAGGATTATGATAAGTATTTAAGTGTGTAATTTAATATTGTAATCGTCACTTATTTATATTACATCTTCTTAAACAATTTTAAATATTGCCTACATTTAATTGTTTCGTGCTTTTAGAAGTTGAACAAATATCAAACTTTGATTAATTCTAAGCACATATCAAAGTAACTTATTGAATAGAGATAAATTATTCATTATATTATATATATATATATATATATATATATATATATATATATATATATATATATTACACTAGGTAGGTATGCTATCCGTCCTGATTTTAACAGCATGTCCTGGTGTTCCGGCCGGTCATTCAGTTTGTCCTAGTTAATAGAAGCTGAGAGGAGATAGCATTTAATATCCTATTATTTAATAATAAAACATAGAAAAATGGGATACATAAAGGATATACTTATTTTTTTTCCATATACATTTTACATAAAATAAAAATTTCATTCGATATGATATCCTGGTTTAAGAATTTCAAAAGGTGTCTACCCAATATAATATTGAAGTTTTTACAATAAATATTAAATATGTTAATTTTTTTTTATTATTATTGTTTAGGTTTCCGAAGATGATGGTCTATCAAAAATTGTTTGCACTAAATGCTTGACATTGTTGAATGAATGGGATCAATTTTATGAGATGTGCTCAAAAAATAACAACATACACCTAAAGCCAATGTCTGACGTAGATGATAAAGTACCATTTATTTTTAGATTTAATAATTATTATTAGTGTTTATTATATTATTAAAAAGTAATTATTTAAAACAATTTATTAAATACTAAAATTTTAACTAAAAGTTTTATATATAGTAATATTACTATAAAGCAAAAAGCTTGATTACATTCTTTTCAATTTGTAAATTTTGATAACCCATAGTCAAAAAAATAAAAAGAATTGAATGTGAAGTGCGGTAGTGTAGGGATATGGTATGGGTTATTTTATCTTCCATCTTGTTCATGAGAGAGCATTTGGGGTTACAAAGGTTTAAGAGTAGATCAGTACTACTAAGTAGTCTTGGAAGTGTATATAAAATAGCACTTGGTTTATCTGCAAGTGGACAATTATAATAATTACTAGAATAGTATGAGATCAAAATGAAATGAAACCAATTCCAAATTTAATGAACTGATACTGGACAATTTTTAACACACAGAATTTGTATTTGTAATTGCACTTAAGCATTAAAATTATCTAAATCTGTGTACACATACTAACGACTAAAGCTTCATTATTTTAAATTAAAAATAGGGTGGTTGTTAGTTTACATGCATATATTATTTAAAAGAGTACAGTGAGATGGTTATTTGACCAAAGGCAGTTTTCTTAATGGTTGAACTATTTCAGAGGACAATGATTTACCCTTAGGTTCAGCCCTTATTATTTTAATTATCTTTTTTGTGGAAGTGTCAAAAATGCTTTTACTCATTAATTTCTAAAATATGACAATCTTGAGTGATAAATATTTTTTATAATAAATAATAATCATTTATCAAAAGTCAATCTCAACTGATAATTTTAATATTAATGAATTTTAAACTGTTATGATTTTAGAATGATGATGGCGATGAATCTGCAAATAATTTAGTAATAGATATTACGGATGAAGACGAAGAACAAAATCATAGATATACAAGTATGTAGCTTACATATTAAATAAATTATAAATAATTTTATGGTACCAAGTTACAAAGTTACAAAAAGCTATCCAAATTTGAGTAAAAATGTGAAAATAGTTGAATAATCCATTTTGGCTCATTTTATAATTTTGAAAATAATGATAAATTATAGCATCGATATAAAAATGTATTTATCCTTAATACTTAAAGGATATATTTATAAAAGCATTTTAAATTATATAAATATATTACATTAGAAAACCTTAAATTAATGAATGTATAATAATGGATAATATTACATTTATATTTATGAACATTTCTATTCAAATAATACAACTTGAAATATATTTTTGAACTAAAATTTAAAAATCAAAATAAAATTGTTCGATATTTTATTTATATTAAAAAAATACTAGGCAAATCAAAAATTGATTGACTTTCATTTTTTGGTTGAATGAAATACATTTTAGAAGTTATGATGTAGTTTTAATACATATAACAAATCTTACAGAAAAATACATTCCTCATCATCCTTAGAATCTGAATCTGTAAGTTACAACTAAAAATATTTTATATATATAGGATTTTATTAAAAAAATAAAATTGAATAATTAATAATAATTTCAGATATCTAAAATAATTATGTTATGAACTATAACAGTTTAATATAATTTTTTCTGAACTTTTAAGTTGGATTTCACAATTTTCTAAATAATTTTTTAAAATTCACTAAATTACATTTCTATAGTATCTACTTCTATGTATTCAACTAATTAATTATGTATCTTAAATGTCTTATAGTCTAAAACTTATTAGACTAAATATTATTATTTTATTTTATTGTATTTGTTCATCAAACAATTTGTACTTAAACATTGATGAATAAGTGTTAATGTTTTTACTACTTTTATGAACCGTTATTTCAAATTTTTATTTTAAAATGTTGACTGTAACTAACTGCTAAAAATAAAAGTAATTGTCTTTTGATTGTTAGTTTACATGTTTTTTTTTAAATATTGATAAAACATTTTTAAGAATGTTATGCAATTTATTTTTTTTTACCTAAATACAACAATATTGTTATGTTTTTCATTATTTTATATGAATTACAATTCCTTAATTATTTTTTTTTTCATTTTTATAGTTTTAATAAACATGTTTATGTGTTAGATACAGATAAAAGTAAGATAAAAATCCCAAAAAAATCAGTCCTCGGGGAACCTTCACCAGAAGATTATGTATTAATGAAAGAAGAAACTTTCAATTTAGAACCGTAAGAAACATTCAATGTGATATGGACTATATCTAGTATTGTTGATTACATTTAACAATATTATAATTTTACAGAAAAAATGGACCAACAGGTGTTTTGGGTGATTATTTAATAGAATATAACAATTGCAAAAAGTTACCAAATGATATGAATAGTGCAGACAAAGACATAGTTGATAATTTACGCATAAGAAGAGAAGTGTTACCTTCTATGTGGGATGTATTTGAAAAGACTGTTGAAAAGCTAAAATCTGGTAAAAATAAATTATAAAAATTGTATATTTAATATAAGCTATATTGTTATCTACATTAAATGAATTTTTGATTACTTGATATTCTTATTTATTTAAAAATAAAAATAATTTTATTTATTATCAATTCTAAAATTTAATTATACATTTTTATTACTTAAAAAAAAAAAATTAAAAATTAAATATTCTGAACATTTTTAAGTAAAAAATTGCTCTATAATTTTTATGTATTTAATACATACTTTTGTTCTTGTATAAATTGTATGTAAATAATAGTTTCAAATAAACCAAAGGTTTGTTTATAAAACAAAATATTAATGAAATATTTGTTTTAGGAGAGACATCATGTGCTACGGTAGTTACTCATAGACGTTATATAACTAACAAAGGTGCATTCCCTTGTTCATTGTGTGGAGAATGTTATGAGTTTGATCAAGGTATTTGTCGTGATGAAGAAGAACCACAACCACCAGTTGAAGTTGACATTCAACAACGTTTATTCATTTGTCCTACATGTGGAAAGTCTTTCCCTCGTCGAAGTTCGTGGAAACGTCACCAAATGACTCATGAAGATGTAAAACCTTATGTCTGTCGTATTTGCACCAGTGGTTTCAACCGTAAAGAACATTTGATGCGTCATATGTTATCACACAGTACTGTAAGACCATTCCCATGTGAACGTTGTGGCAAACGTTTTATACGCAAAGAGCATTTGGCTAGACATCTTTTGTGTATACCAAGTTGTTCTAATTCATCTGATATGCCAAGACCATTCTGTTGTGATATTTGTAAACAAAGATTTGTGCGTAAGGAACATTTGTTTAGACATAGAAAAAGAGCCCATGAACATGCATTGATAGTAGACAATCAATTAGAAGAGAAACCATTTGTGTGTTGGCAATGTGGCAAATGTTTTACTCGCTATGAACACCTACGTAAACATTTGGATATTCACAATGGTATTATTCCTTCTTCTTCCACAGCAATACTTCCTGAAGTGACTTTATCAGAAATAAAAGCTGAAGACATGACAACAGATGTTAAGGCAGAAAATTTATCCGAATCTGAAGGTGAATCCGAAGTACTACCCCCAGTGAGTGTATTAGAACTCAATGAACAACAATCTGAACAAGGAAGACCTAAACCTAGTACACTTTGCACTATTTGCAAAAAAACATTTTCTCGCCGTAGTCATTTATTGCGGCATTTGAAACGTATACACAAAGTAGAACCTGTGTTGACTAGGAGGCGAGTAAACAAATCTGGTGATGAAAATGGTAACTCTATAGAAGATACGAAATGGGAATGTCATACATGTGGAAAGACATTTTCCAGGCAAGCTCATCTTGAGAGACATGAAAAAAATTTGCATAGTGAAGATCGAATGGTACCGGCTCCTTACGAATGCGTCTCTTGTGGGCAAGCATTTTTTGATAGTAATTTACTCAATCAGCATATGGCTACTCATGGAAATACCGTGACTGATAATTTTGTTTGGATGTGAGAAGGTTTAATTATTGGTTTTTTTTTTTTTATTATTATTATTATTTGAATTAGGGTGTATATAGCTTAATCACATGTCAATTAATGGCTCGGAGGTGTTTTAAATTATGTTAAAATAATGATAATGTTATAGTTATATGATAAAACTTTAGATTGTTATTATAAAAACAGAATAAATAATAGATAAATATTGTGTAGTAATGATCAGTCTATAAAAAAAAAATCAGTTAGGCTATTAATAACTATTTTGTTTCCTTTGTAATTTAAAATTCTGGTCGTGCTTTGTTGCATTTAGTTTTATTGTATATTATTTTTTATTATTATTAATATTATTATTTAAGTATAACTATATCATAATTATATTTATTTTGTTATTTATAGTGGCTTATTTGGACTAAAAGTCTGAAAAGCACTGTAAAAATTAAAATTAACAATAATCTATACAAATGTGTACCAAATTTACCAGTAGAGCAAACGTTCCCAAAAATGTATTTTTATTTCATCATTGAATCAATTAATATTAAATACAGGGTGGTTTTTCAGTCCATTAAAATGTACATAATATATTGTATTGCATCTTTAGTTTTTTAATTGTTTTTAAATTCTATAACATTTTTCAAATGTTTAATATGTTGATGTTTAATTACTATAATTTTAATTTTTTTTATATCTGATAAAAAATGTTTTTTTATATATATTATAAGCACTTGATTAAGGTGTATTGAAAACAAAACGGGTATTAATATTTTCAATTTAATAAATTTTAAGCATCATTAAAATATTTTAAGTTTTAAAAACGTGATATTTAGCTTCTTATTATTTTATGGTTAATATAGTATCTATCCTACATAATACTATGAAGGTTCAATTCTCAAGTTTTGTAATCACTTATCATAATCATTGAACATATTGTTTTGATTTATTATTATCATCTATTATTTACCAAGGTGGTTTTATATATATATTTCATAAATAAATTTAAGTATAGTATAAAAAATAGTTGTTACATACCAGAGTACATTAATTACAAATCTCAATGCATTTAAATGTTTTATGCATACAATTTACTAAATTTATACTATGTATCATTCAATTTTAAATGATTACATGTTTTAAACACTGCTTCGTAGTAATATTTACCTATATTTCCAAATCTAAAATTGTGTTAACTATTTGTTTTTAATGTGACAACTATTTTTATCCAAATTATGTACAACTATAATATTTTCATTGTCATTTATGTTAGATTAATAATGAAAATGTTCTTTGGAGATGGTGGGTTTTGGGTTTTTTTTAATTTACACATTTGCTCAATTTCCATTTTACACTAATACAATTTCATACATTTATGTTACTAATTATTATTTTGTTTGTTTTAATTGTTCCTGAACAATCTAAAATTATTATTATCAAATTATTATTTGTACATTTTGTTTTTCAAATTATTTTATATCATGTAGAGATTAGATAATAGTTAAAATGAACATTTAAAAAGCACTTTTGATGAATACATTAATATTTAAGTTTCTCTTGGATAAGTATTCCCTCCCACACTCCATTGTTTTTGAATTGACTTTATTTATTTTTATTTACTTAATTGCAACCATTATTTTTAAACATTTTTAAATGACTGAAAATATACACATTTTACTTCATGAATATTTGATTGTTTTATTTTTTTTTAAAAATATATTTATTAGATAATTCAATTTTTTTTTTATACCGAAAAATTAAATCGTAATATTTCAATATCTATTTTATCTCCCTTTTGATAGGTATCTTTCAAAAGTGAAGCAGAAAGAAATAATACAGAGCATAAGGTACAAAATATTAAATTGATTTTATTAACAAATATGTGATAAAAGCGTCAACTGTGTATATATAAGTAAATAGAGTACGGACAGTACAAATTCAACAATAAAAAACAGTAAAATAAAAAATGCAATATTTTTAAGGTATTCAATATTGGACCAATATAAAAAGATATGCGTAAAACAAGATTCAACTATGAATTTATAAGTAAATCGAGTACGGAAGTACAAATTCAACAAATGAAAAAATCATGAAAAATGCTTTGCGGAAAAAAATATATGTAAGTAGTACGTGAACAATACAAAGGAACATAAATCGTTTTCAACGCATAATACATATAAAATTCCACTAATGCAACATTTATTTTAATTACTTATCTATGAATGCACCATTTGATGATTGTCTTTCGACTTTCGTTGCAAATACCTAAAGAAACTTGTTGATGAAAATTTTCCGGAACCAAATTGGCGAAATCTCTCAGTTATATTGTTATATTATAACTCAGTTATGTTTTATTGCTTTTGCTTTATTGCTCTTTTTCGGCTATCAAACATTGAACGCAAGCACATTGTAACATCATTATCTTGTAGTACGGACAGAGAAGTGTTCCACTAGGTCTTAGCTACTCGTAATTTTCAATAGCCGAACAATCTAATCAGGATTGGATCCCAGAAGATAAATGACAACGTGACGATGTGATGTTGTCATCACCGTTCGATTCGTGCTCAAAGGACGTAATTGGAATCACATGATTAGTACTGTATTGCGTTGCGATTTCCATCGAAGAAAAGATGAATGATTAACGCAATGAATCGAAATGCAGTAGTTCAAAGTCAATCCGACGTAATACATATATCCCCGAACGATTTTTCCGGTATTTAATCCATTATCGAATGTTTCTTATAAACTTCTTCCAGCGGCATATCGAAATGTCACGAATGCAAGTTCAACCAGAGACCTTTAAATTGGTCACGGCAAAATTATTAATTTATGTTATTAATATGAATAGTAAATACCTGAAAACAAGAATTTTGTCGGAACGATGGAACATATGTTCTTGGATAAATTGTGAATTTACTATTGATAGAATGGTACAATTGCAACATTGAAAATATTTTGTTATTGAATTCTTGTTTTATTTTGGGCTCACGCGGTGCTTATGACCCGTCGCCGCACGACTAATACTAACTGCGACGTTAGTTGTAAGACATTTGAAACCACATAACGAACTACAATATATTTTAATCTTTTAAAGTATTGTCAAGTTCAGTTTAAGTTTTTCTACTCCATAAACCATTTTTGAACACCGCGTAGACTTGAGTCAATTAACTGACACTAACCTATCATACTTATTTAACCGTCGATTGGAAATAACCGCAGACGGTCTACTGTAATATATATATATATATGTATATAATATACAAACCGATGTGACTGGATTAACCGGATATTAGTTTTAACCTAATTTTATTACTCTATGATTTTATCATTAGAATGAGTTTTTCCGAAAAATATAATCGATAAGCGCCTATACAGGTGTAATCGGTTGTTGGAAACACTCATAACTTAACAAATATTAAAGGTATTTGAATTCTGTTTGTTTGTGGTGCTTAACAAAGTTTGTTATAACTTATTAAAGTAATTAAACAATTTTTATGCCATTTCATTTCGCGCATGCGCATAACAACTCTTTTTTTTAAATGGCAACCCCACTATTTTTTGGTTAGTTATTTTTACTCTTATTTTTTCATGAATTTCGGTGGTAAAACCAACTTCCTATGTTAAAAAATAGTTGAGTTATGGATATTTCAGTGATTGATATTATTTTTTGACATTTTTGAATTATTCATCAATTTTATGGTTTAAATAATTAATCCTTTTAGCACCGCATGATATCTTCTAGTGATATTTAAAGTACCTACTTTTGGAAAGCATCCTCTTTCCCTAAAGCAACTATTTTTTTAAGTTTATCTCAGGCGATTAAAAAAAAAAAAAAACAATATATTTTATATATAATATATCACAGAATATAACAATAAGGTTCACAGAGATAATTGTCATGAATATAACGAAAAAAATAAAAATAATTAAATTTGTAAATAATATTATAGGAATGCCCAATTATGAAATAATACAGTTTGGTAACATTGCACGGATTTTATTAAAAATACATTCAGGCGCAAGTGGACTGCTCCGGCGCATTATAATAACACTAAAACGATTAATTACTCAAAATTAAACATGCAGTTTTATATGAGTTGTATTTATACAGGATAATAAGTCGAGCATTTAAACGCACCGAATCGCCCGGGCGCACCCATGTCTAATTTTGAGCGTTTAGCACGGTCGTATCTGGGGGGTCGAGGGTGTCTGGACACCCCCCCCCCCGAAAAGTCTTCAATATTTTACAAATGTTTAAAATACTTATTTATTTTTAATACCAACTTAAATATTTTCAGTCAAAAATGACTTAAGCTCCAATTAATCATTGACTGCTTTTAATTTTATATCATAATATCTAGGGCTCGAATTTAAACGCACTTAAAACCATACAATATGCTCTAAAAAATAGCCAAAAATGTCCATAAAAAATACATTATACCACAAAAATGAACTTAAGAATGACATTTTTATTTTGGGCATTATTTAATACACTATTTAATATATTAAAATCACATTCACACGTAATACGAACTAAAGCTGATTATTTGTTATTTGACCGAATACTGGTGAAGTTTCATAGTCAATAATAAATAAAGATAATAACTAAATCGAAAAATAAAGATTGACAATGTGTATGGAAAAACCCGATAAACCTTTTTAATATCAAGAAAATAATTTGTTATTTGATTTTATTTTGAATAGGGTAAATTTGTTTAGTATATCGAACAAATATGCATTAAAAACCAACAAAATGACCCAATTATACTAAAAATGCTCCAAAAATGAAAAAACGTCGAAATATGCAAAAAAAAGCAAAATAAAATTTGTAGTTTTAAAACCCTCGTTACATGAAATGAATTATGTTCTTAGAGAGCATTGTGTATGATCAACCAAAAAAATATGCACTTTTTTTTGAAATCCGGGCCCTAATAATATCATATGAAAATATAATATTAATTTTAATAAAAGAAGATTAAATCTTTTTCTGTCTTATTTTTAACCAAATATAAAAAGTTAAATTCGATAAAATTACAATATACATGTTTTGGACCCCTGCCGAAAAAAATTTCTAAACACGCCCTTGACGTTTAGTCGCGTTTTTAACTATTGGCGATAAAGATTAACCACTGGAGCGCTCTTATCAAATTAAGATCGCCGCTGGAGTTCGGATAGATTCAAATTATCTACATTACCAGTGTCTAAAATATGTAATTAATATATTAAAATATAATAATATATTAATAGTAAAATTTGATTTGAAAAATGTATTTAGTTATAAAATAAATAGGTATAATATATGTTAAACTTTAAATAGATATTATTCAGCAAAGTTAAATATTTAAATATAAATAATAATAACACTGCCGATATTCCACAAACTCCCAACACACTATTAGCCACTTTTGCCGACGACACAGCCCTATTGTCCACAAGCGATGATATTTCTTTAGCTGCACACAATCTACAACATCATACTAGCCTAATCGAAGCCTGGTGTAAAAACTGGTTGATAAAAATAAATGAAAACAAGTCAACTCAAGTCACTTTTACCCTTCGCCATGGCAACTGTCCCTTAATTAAATTAAATAACGTGAATATTCCTGTCAGTAATGAAACCAAATATCTCGGCATAATACTTGACAAACGCCTAACTTGGGGTCCTCACCTAAAAAATAAAAGAAAAATAGCGAATAGCAGACTCCACCTTTTTCGGCCTCTCCTAAAATCCAAACTAAAACTAAAACTTAAAATACTTTTATACAAAACCGTTATCAGACCACTATGGTCCTACGGTATTCAAGTTTGGGGGCCAGCCAAACCTTCAAACATCCGCTCTATCCAGTCATTTCAAAATATAACCCTTAGAATCATCACTGGTGCTCCCTGGTATGTAACGAATGAATCTATTCATAACGACTTACAAATCGAAACAGTAAATAAACTTTCAAAACGTCACTATAAATCCTTTTACATAAAACTGCCATCGAACATTAATCACCTAATTCAAAAAATGTCCTCAAATCTTATCCCTGACCAACTTCCACGTAGACTAAAAAGAAATTGGAATCGTGACCTACTACTCTGAAAAAAAAAAAAACAACATCAACTATACAATCATCCTTGCTACACCTAGATATATAATACAATACAATAAAACCTAAATATTTGTGAGGGGTATTACCAGTGGGTGACTTCCCCTATCATGTGAATCATGTTATGTTCATTCAAACTATTAGCATAATGATTTATTGTGCAGATTATGTGTATAGATTGTCTTTTTATTATTAATAAAAAAAAAAAAAAAAATATATAAATAAACAATATTGCGTGTCCAATACCTCATCAGAAAACTAGAACATTGAAATGCAAAAAGTTTAAATAATATTTTAGTTAAATATCAAATAATATTAAATTTATAAACATTTAGTTATGATAATATTATAATATTATGTTAGGGTTATATTACGTTTTATGTATATTTAATTTAAATTATGAATATCATATTAATATTGAGATTTAAGAATTAAAAAATTATTTAACCTCACAAATTTAATGAAATAGAAAGTAATAATAAATCATATTCATAGAATAACTTTTTATCAAAATGCCTAACTTTTCATTATGCAACATATATAGTAGTAATTATATGAGCATTTAAATTATTTATATAATTTATGTTAAAAGAACAAAATACATCTTAACACATTATTATGTTCATTATAAACAAGTATAAATATCACAGTATTAAAATAAATATTATTTATTTTTATCACAAACAATACTAGAAAATCCATGAACATTTCTAAAATTAAAATAATTTATATTAAATGATTAAAATACTTTAAAAAAAAATGTATTTAAATCACTTCAAGTATTGTTAAATCATAGTATTAATAAACAAATAAGTGTAAAAATAAAAGTACTATTAAAATTATTTATTATTAATTCTAATTTATTGATGTTAGGAAATAATGAGAGTGATATTAAGAACATAAAAATAAATAAATGATTAAAGTTCATCATCAATAACTGGAAAATCACCTATTTCAATTGCTGAAGGAGTAACAAAAGATCCGTACTTAGGAAGAGTTTCAAAATATCGTTTTCCATTTAAGCAACCATCATTTTTACCATATGGTTCATCATATTTTACACCAACCCAATAACCTTTCTTGCCATCTAATCGTCCTTTATACATAACAGTACCATGTTGGGTAGGTTTATTCGGTAAGCGAATACAACACCTTTGTCCAACTTCCATTTTGTCAATTTGTTCTTTTTCAATATTCTCCTGTTGTTCTTTTTCTAAGTTTTCTAGTTCACGTTGCTTCTGATAATCTGGATTATATTTGCCTAACTTGTTGTTTTTCAAAAAGCTTTTCAGTGTTTCCTAAGAAAAATAATTAAACTATAATAATTAAATTGTACATCAAGCACTCACCTCTAAAGGTCCATACAAATGGCAAAAATTTATTTTACAAACAGGGCAAACACACTTGAATGTAAATGAACACATGTGTGTTTGTGAAAACTAAACAGCAAACTAGCTCATATGTACCTATTTCAGCAACAGTTTTTTAGAAGTTTACAAAAAATCGACACAATTAAATCACTGTTTGAGCTATTCGTTGAACCTATACACATAATTATGGGCAATGTATATTCCATGACTATTCTCCCTCATTTGTTGTCATTTGTACAGACCTTGAGACTATACACACTAATACTCATACTTGTTTTGCATCATATTCTTCCTTAGTCATCTTAAAAGAATCAATTTCATCTTGTTGAAATGATTCAAATGTAGGATCATCAACCAATAAAAACATACCATTTTCAATAGGATATGAACCAAGCTGTAAATCATCATCATCCAGCTTGACTATTAACTTGTCTTTATCATAAGCTGACAGCATCATACTACTAGCCGATCGACCGGTAATCATTTCTAATTTGTTTTTCAATTCACTAATCGTCATACCTCTCCTGTACCTCCGAGCATTTAATTCAGGTTCAGACAATTTAGTGCATACATAAAGTTCTAACATTTCGGACAAGTGAGTTCCTTCAACGTTCATATTTGTTAAAGATTATTGAAAAACACTGAAGTATAAAAACTAAAAATCGTTCAATTTATTATGCAAATGAGTAAAATATTGAAATTCATAGAAAAGAAGTAATAATTATACAATTAGGAAACGTTTTGAGCAATGCACTTTATCAGCACGATAATTGATAAGAGATATTCTATTCGGAAAGCTGATATTGATAATGTTCAGTGTAGTCCATAGAGTAATACCATAATCACAGAACAATAATATGGTGTAGTCAACACTCAGGACATCACAGAATAGATAAATCCTTGAATGAAATTAGAATATTTTAATCGTAATAATAATTAATAATTGAATAAATAAATATTTATAATTAAATTCATTTTTATTATTAATGATTTAGTTAATAACGGTCAAATCCAACTATGAATTATCTTCGAAAACAAACTTTTAGCAGGAAATCTTCAAATGATTCTACATTGAAATATTAGTAAAATGGACTTTTGTTTATAGTTAAACTTATCGTTTCCCAACTATTAACTAAGATGCAGATACATTTGATTCATTGAGACATCAAAACATCAAATTTTTTTGTAGCCTTAGCATTGATTTTATAATATTTTTAATATATAATATATTAATATATTAATTATTACTTATTTTTTACTTATATTAGCTAATATTTGAATAAGTTATATAACATATATATATATATATATATATCTATAATGTAGATGACCGTGATATATATGTATATTTTAATAGATACATTTCGGTTGATCGATAAATATTCGAAAATATTTTTCGTTCAACTAAAGATTATCTAATATACCGTGTCGAACTTCACCCTAGCAAACTAGGTTTTTATCATAGAAGTGCCTACTAAGACATTACATTTTTTCAAAAGACACCTTAAATAAATTGATAATATTAAAAATAATGTTATTGTTATATTAATATACTAATATTATACATATAATATGTATATTATAATATTCATATAAATAATCATTAATTAAAAATATGTATAAAATATCTATGGTAATCGCTATACACAGTGAGTTACAGATATATAAAATAAAAATGGAAATCTGTGGCGCACAGCAGTGGATATTTTAACTAACATACTGGGCGACATTAATGTCGCATTAATGTGAACATTTTTTGTCGCCTAGTAGACTGTAATATTAATAACTGGACGATAACAATTTTTTGGTAGAAATATAAAAAAAAAACGATAACACATCAAGTAATAATTAGAAATTTGGAATAATTATATTTATGTGTAATGCTATAAATTGCCAACATCACTATAAGTTGCCCATATACTGTCGAATATACACACCAGCGATCGGCTTCATTATCTATTTTCATTTATATTGTTTTGTGGGTATTGGACGACGTTATCACGGCGCCGTATCGCAGCGTTGACGTGAGTAATAACATGTCTATTTTTATTTCAGCCAAATTTCTTAGTATTTAATTTTGTTTTATCGTAAATATTCTGGTATTTTCTGGCATTTTTCCGGCATCCGTCGAACATCGAGATCGAAGTGGATTGATAAAAATCATAAGGTAAGAAAAAAAATATATGAATTAACTGAAAAACACTTATCTAATTTTAACTTTTTTAAGAATTTTATATTAAAGCTTAAGTTACTATACACTACATTAAAAAAGTGAAAAAGTCAATAATTTATTTGTTTAAAATTTAACAACTTAAACGGATTGCAAACTAGGCAATTAAAATTAAAATTGAAAAATAAATTCCATCGCAAATGCGATGTACAGTAACAACTTGACTAGTAGTTTCATAACCTATCAATGTTTTATAATAGAAGTCTCCCGAGTTGGTATTTAGTAAATACTAATCAGGACGATTCATAATTATAGGGCTCTTTACATTGTATGCTACATGGGCTTATCCGTGTCTGAAAATCACCCTAAATTAAACACCCATATAATGATTTAGATACGTTTATTCCTTCGACATTGTAGTTTACATTATGCAATTTAAAAATCAAATAATTTTTATTAAACTGTCATCTTCAAACATATATTATATTATACATAGGTAATATTGTTTTTATTTTGTTTCCCTTGTAGATATCAATAAATCAAATCAATTTAATCCGTTATAGTTCCCAATATTAAAATGTCCAAATATATTACAGACTATTTTTTTGAAAAAGATCAAAATATAGAAAAAAAAAGAAAATTAATTATTGAAAATCGTATATGGTGTACAAGTACCAATTTTTCGTCTAGTACACTTGATACGACAGAAAATGAATCTCAGTTAAATACAGAGTGGTATAAATGGTCGAAACTAGATGTTACTTGGTTATTGCAAACATTTTCTATGCTCAAAAAAATTAAATTGGGGACGCGATTAGGATTAAAATGCATGGTTTGCTTTGAGCAAATTTCAGAAGCTATAAAGTTTTCTCGTAATGGGCATGTCCCAATAGCTGATGGTATAAGATGTGATGGTAAAAGAGAATTGATGAGGGTTGTTGCCATTTGCATAGTGACGCTCATAATGCCGCTCGTAAAGCTGACGAGACTCAGCGCCTATGGCTAACACAGGCTGATAAACATCCATGGGTGAAAATTCTTAAAAACCATGAGTCGGAAATTATTAAAAATTTAATTGAATTAGCTGTCGATGTCCATAATGATAGCAAAGTATTAACATTATCTGCTAATTCTTGGCCATCTAAATCACTTTCGAAAATGCATGCTAATGCTCAAATTGCTAGTTATGGAGAACATGGTTTGGATTCTAAATTTGCTTGTTTTAAACAATTCTCTTCTGCAGTTCACCACAAAAATCCTGTTATATATCGTGAAATATTAGATACGGTTGCTGAAATTACCATGGAGTTAGTTACAAACGAATTGAAAATTGCAGAATGTTTTACATTACAAGTAGATGGTTCTGTTGATAAATATTCGATTGATAATAAGTTCATAACGGCCCGTTACCTTGATAAAAATAAAGCTATGAAAAATATATTTCTCGGAGAAAGCCATTCTTCTAAGCGTGGAGCAGAAGGCTTACTTGATTCGGTTATAATCGTTTTAAAAAACCTTAATTTAGAACACACTGCTACACAAAACATGACTGGATTAACTACCGATGGTGAGAGTGCCAACACTGGTAAGAAAAGTGGTCTCTGGGTCAGACTTCAAGAACATTTGAAAAAAGAGATACTTTGTATTTGGTGCGTAGCACATAGGTCTGATTTAGCGTTTGGAGATTTACAAGCATCAATAGTGGAAGTAAAAAACTGGAAATCAAATGTGAAAGCTGTGGCTACATTTTACAAAAGCTCAGCAGTACGAATAGAAGAGCTCCAATTAATTTCTAAACAGTCAAAAAACAAGTATTATCGATTTCCTGAACATTTTGAAGTACGATTCGTTCAACATCTTATAAAATTAAGTGAATCAATATGGAATAATTTAAAATCAATAAGAACACATTGGAGTTCAATAATCACCAACACGAGTGGAAATAAAACTGAAAAATCAGTAGCTAAAGGATTTTTAAATCTGTGGAAAGAAGGCGGAGATCAAGAGTATTATACTGCACTAATGATGGATATACTTTACCAGTTTGAAAAATGACAAAAAGAAGGCCAAAAATCGATGACCACTTTAAGTGACATAGAAACTACGAAAACGGCAGTACTTGCATCGTTGGATATAATTAAAACTAATTGTTTTCCTAGTGGAAAAGAAGAAGGTTTACAAAACTTGCAGTGTGATGTAGAATTAGAATATGAGGATGACAACGACAATAATATAAGAATACGAACGATAAGTAATTCTTATGTTTCGACAAAACGTTGTGTTTTAAGTGTTAAAAACGAAATTATCCTAAGTTCCATTGAATTTCTCCAACAGCGACTTGATTGTGAACAAAAAAGTATAATCAGTCAACTCAAATTATTTTTAAATGCACAGAATGGTACAGAAATGATTGCTTCTGTAAGATGTGATGTTGAAGAATTATTTAACAAAACTAACCTGAGTCAGTTCAGCGATGAAGTCATTGGGTTATATGCTACAGATAATTTCCCAGCACCATGCAGTATAACAAAGTATAACAAATTTTACTGGAAAACTTTATTATTATTTAAAAATAAGTACACCAAACACTTTTTTTTCCAAACTCGTGCAGACATATATATCCCTTACTCCTCACAGTTGTGGGCCTGAACGCGCTGTATCTTGCCATACCATTTTAAAATCAAACAAGCAGTCTAATTCCAGAGAATCAATTAATAGCCGTCTTTACATTGCTTTAAATAGCGGTGGTACAGCAAACTTTGATCCCAGACCATTAGTAGCTAGATTTTTACAGAAAAAAGAACGTAGATTTAAAATACCGGATAAAGACCATTTCTTTATAAAGAAGTTCTTTAAAGAAGTGTGAAAAATAATTCATTTTAAAATATTGACAGTTAAATTTTTTTTTTTTTTTAAATTATTTACTTTTAAAATATGTTATGAACCATTATTTATATTATTATAAATAAAAAGGATACATTTAACTAACAAGCTATTTGTTCTTATTGATATATTACGGGTTTGGACAGTATATTAGACTCTAACAGTTAGAGTTTACAAGGTTTGTATCTTTTTTTTTAGGCGTATAAAAAATGATAGGTTAATGTTGATTTTATTAATTTTGCGTGGATTTTTTTCATGTCGCCCAGTGAAAATGTCTTAAAATATTCACTGGCGCACAGTATTGACGTCATAAAGTGTTGAGTCTTTTTATTAGCCATTTACAAAACAATATGCTGCTGTAGAAACATCATTTTCGTTTGTTAGTGCTATCACTCGATGATTATGAATGTTCGAAGTTGTTACCTGTATAAACTTTGCTTGAATTGGAAAACTACAAGTTAAAGGTAGTTTACCTATAACTTTAAATAAGGGTGTACCCAGCCATAGCTACCTACATAAGAATCAGAGATTAAATTATTATTAAGGTAATGTTTAAAAATATTTCATTGAAAACTAGTAATAGTGACAAGTGGATATGCTTGCCCCTGAGGGTATTAGTATAAGGGCGCTGCATTTTTATTAGCCCTGGTCATCAAATTTCCTAAATTCGGCACTGTTCCTTGTAAGTTTATCC